CTGCCTGCCGCGCCCGACCCCGCTCGGGCACTGCGCTGGCTTCGACCTCTGCGGCGCGGCCGTGGTGGGCGTGGCCGCGGGCGCGAGCGTCGCCATTGCTGTTTGGCTGGTCCGCCTCTGGCCGGCGGCCCTGCCAGCGCGAGGTCGCGCGCTGGTTCTCGAGGGCGACGGCGTCGTCGTGGACGGGCCGGGCTCGGTCGCCGCGCCGGCGAGCCTGGGTCGCAGCCGTCGGGCCTTTGACGCCCTTCGTGATTGAGCGCGGCCACGGCGCGGGTTGTAGACGCGCAGTTCAGCCGGTGCGATGCCGACCCGAACCTCCAGTGGCACCGCTGCGCGCGGCTGGTCAGGGGCGACGCTCAGAAGTGGATCTGGCTCACGCCCGACGGGGAGGTCGCCTGCGCCGGCCTCTCGACGCACAGGGCCAACGCGCCGCGGCGGGCGGGGGCTTCTCCCGCTCCCCACCTGGGGGAAAGTTACGCCATCGATGCTGCGGCGCCGGGGGACATGCAGGCCTGCCTGGAGGAGGCCCGCGCACTGGCCATCATCCTGGGCTTCGACGTCGCTGGCGTTGTTGGGCTGCCTGGGGGCCCAGGGGCACATGGTTCGCGGGCGACCCGACGTCTTCTCACTTCTCGGAGCAGGTGCCCCCGCTGGTGCCGGTCAACGACGAGGTGTTCTTGCGTCGCGGCGTTGTTGCCTTGGTGAAGATCGACGATGTCTGGCTCCACGCCGTCAGGGTGGCCGAGGGTCGGACGTTCAACTCGTGCCTGTCCCTCGCTCGTGGCTGCGCTGGCCGCGACACTCGAGTCGTTGGCGACGAGCGAAATCCAGATGGCGGACGCTGCATCGAGTTCCGCGACTCGGTCAGGCGCACGACGCAGGCGGTCATCCCAGGTTGACCGCTGCATGGCAAGAGGGCCGCCCGCGAGGCGGTCTCGGCGGTGCGCGACGGAGGTCAGCGCGCGCGGAGGGCCATCGCGCGACCTGGATACGGCGGAGAGGGGTCGCCGAGCGGAGCAACGTCGCCCGCGAGCATTGCGCGATCTGCGCGGCGCTCCACATGATGCCGCAGTTCGACCACCCTGAGAATCATCAATTCAGTCTTCTAGGACTTCAGGGCTGATTTGGTTCGCATACTCCAAAAAGTTGAGTTTGGCAAGTGCGATTTGGCGAAGTTCAGTTTGGATGAAACCTCCCTCCCCCCTATTTCTCCTCTCCCCCTCTCCTCGGGCCGGCGCTGGCGTCGGCGGCAGGTGGCGTCGGCGGCAGGGAATGTCGATGAAAACGACAACTTCCTTTCTTGGGCCGGCGCCGGCGCCTGCGGCGGCTGGCGGCGGCGGCGAGGAGCGTCGACGAAAACGACGGCGACGACGACGATGACGACGACGACGACACGACGCTCCAGCACCGTGCCTTGGTTTTAGGTCACAGTGTTAATGGATGCCTCTTGGGTCTCGTCGGAGTATTCTCGGGGCCTCTGAGGTGGTGGTGGTGGTGGTGGTGGTGGTGGGCTGTGGTGGTGGTCGTTGTGGCGGCGGTGGTGGTGGTGGTGTGGTGGTTGGTGGTGGTGGTTGTTGTGGTGGCGTTTGTGCTGGCAGGTGGTGGTGGTGGTGGTGGCGATGGTGGTGGTGATGTGTAGTTGTGGTGGTGGTGGGCTGTGGCTGTGGTGGTGGTGGTGGTGTGGTTCTTTGTCGTGATGGTTGTGGTGGTTTTGGTTTGTGGTGGTACTGGTGTTTGTGTGGTGGTTTGGTGGTGGTGGTGGTGTGGCGGTGGTGGTGGTGGTTAAGGTGGTGGGTAGTGGTGGTGGTGGTGGTGGTGGTGGTGGTGGTGGTGGTGGTGGTGGTGGTGGGTGGCTGGGTGTGGTGGTGGTGGTTTCGGTGGTGGTGTGTGTTGTTAGTGGTGATGGTGGTGGTGGTCCTGGTGGTGGTGGTGGTGGTCGTGGTGGGTTGTGGTGGTGGTGCTAGTGGTGGTGGTGGTGGTTGTGGTGGTGGTGGTGTGGTGGACTGTGGTTGTGGTGGTGGTGGTGGTTGTGGTGGTGATGATAGTTTGTCGTGTTGGTGAGGTGGTGGTTGTGGCGATAGTGGTCGTGGTGGTGGTGGTGTGGTGGTTTGTGGTGGTGGTGGTTGTGTGGTGGTTTTTGGTGGTGGTGGTGGTGGTGGTGGTGTGGTGGTGGCGGTGGTGGTGGTGGTGGTGGTGGGTTGTGGTGGTGCTGGCGGTTGTGTTTGTGGCGGTGGTGGCGGTGGTGTGGTGGCTGTGGTGGTGGTGGTGGGTTTTGGTGGTGGTGGTGGTGATGGTGGTTGTGGTTGTGGAGTGTCGTTGTGGTGGTCCTGGTGGTGCTGGTGGCTGTGGTGGTGGTGGTTGTATGGTGGTTTGTGGGGGTGGTTGTGGTGGGTTGTGGTGGTGGTGGTAGTGGTGGTGGTAGTGGTGGTGGCGGTGGTGGTGGTGTGGTGGTTTGTGGTGGTCCTGGTGGTGGTTGTGGCCTGTGGTGTTGGTGGCGGTGGTGGTGCTGGTGATGGTGGTGGTGGTGGGTGGTGGTGGTGGTCGTGGTGGTTTGTGGTTGTAGTGGTGGCGGCGGTGGTTTTTGTGTTGTTGTGGTGGTGGTGGTGTTGGCCGTGGTGGTGGCGGTGGTGGTGATAGTGGTGGTGGTTGTGTGGTGGTTTGTGGTGGGGGTGGCTGTGGTCGTGGTCGTGGTGTTTGTGTTGTTGTGGTGGTGGTGGTGGTGGCGGTGGGGGTGGTGGTTGTGGTGGTGGTGGGGTGGTGGTTGTTGCGGTGGTGGTGGTGGTGGTTTGTGGTAGTGGTGGTGGGTTCTGGTGGTGGTGGTTGTGGTGGTGGTGGTGGCGTAGTGGATTGTGGTGGTGTGTGGTGGTACTGGTGGTTGGTTGTTGTGGTGGTGGTGGGTTGTTGTTTTTGTTGTTGTGGTGGTGGTGGCGGTGGTGGCTGTGGTGGTGGCTGTGGTGGTGGTGGTTTCGGTGGTGGTGTGTGTTGTTAGTGGTGGTGTTGGTGGTGGTGGGTTGTAGTGGTGATGGTGGTCGTGGTGGTGGTGGTGGTTGTGGTGGGTGGTGGTGGTGGTCGTGGTGGCGGTAGTGGTGGTGGTTGTGGTGGTGGTGTGGTGTTTCATGGTGGTTGTTGTGGTGGTGGGTTGTGGTGTTGGTGGTGGTGGTGGCGGTGTGGTGATGGTGATGGTGGTGGTTTGGTGGTTGGTGGTGGTGGTGGTTGTGGTGGGTTGTGGTGGGTTTCGGTGGTGGTGGTGGCGTTTGTGGTGGTGGTGGTGTGGTGGTTTGTGGTGATGGTGGTGGTTGTGGTGGTGGGTTGTGGTGATTGTGGTGGTGGTAGTGGCGGTGCTGGTGATGGTGGTGGTGGTGGTATGGTGTTTGTGGTGGTGGGTTGTTGTTTTTGTTGTTGTTGCTGTGGTGGTGGTGGTTTCGGTGGTGGTGTGTGTTGTTAGTGGTGGTTGTGGTGGTGTGGCCGTCGGGTCTTCCCGCCACCGTGTTTTGGCTCCGGGTCAGAGTTCTCATGGATGCGTCCTGAGGTCTCGTCAGAGCGGTCTCGGGTGCGTGCGAGGAGCATTTGTGAAGCCTTCTGGACCTTCCTAAGAACCTCCCGTTTGCTTTTGGGGTGCGAGGGTTCGATATTCTTGCGGTTGGAAAGGGGTGTGGCATAAACGGGTGTGGTGCCAATCGTGGACATGGCGTTGCTATCTACGATAGATAACCTCACCAGATCCAGCATTGGAGGCACCACGCCCCTTTACACCACACCCCTTTCCTATCTCCAGAGATATGGCGAGTTGTCTTTCTCCTCTGCGGCCTCTGGGCCCACTCTGGTCATCGTCGCAGCGTCCCCGCCGTCGGCGCTGCTGGCCGCCGCCAGCGCCGGCGCCGGCGCCGGACACCACCTCTGGCCGGGGCGGGGGGGGGGTTGGACCCCCCCCGTGGGAGGGAGCTTTCAGGAGGGGGGGAGGGGGGGGTTAGGGGGAGGGGAGTCCCCCTGGGTCTGATCGACGGCGCGGAATGTTGGCCCCCCCCCGTTCGAAACGCGCCGCCGAATGTTCCCAAGGCAAGCACCCGTGAAACGCGGTCTCTCAGACGTCTCGACCACTTCCCCGGGACGGACTTCTCATCCCGAGTCGTTTTTTGACGGTCTCGGGGCCTGGTAAGGGCCCCCTGACGCCTAAAATAATGGAAAGCGTTCCTTCGTTATTTTTTCATGACTCGAGGAGGTCTGGGATCTCAGGGTCGGCGTCCGCAGCCTAGACCTCCCAGATGGTGTCAGAGCAGATGGGGTCGGAGGATCACGCCGCATCTCCGATGCATCGGCGATGCGGCTCGATTTTGGAGCCCGACTTCCTCCACGCCGACGTCGCGGGGTGCGTCGCCGACGTCGCCGATGCATCGCCGATGCATCGGTGATGCGGCGCGACCCTCCGACCCAATCTCCTTGGACCCCATTTGGGAGACCTCTACTGGCAAGACGCTGAAGTAAGGACCGCTTTGGGCTCAGGAGGGGCTCGGTCTCTCCAGCCGTTGCATGGATTTGTGTCGTGGAACCTGCTTGTGGCCTGGACCCGCCGTGGCCAGAAAAGTCCCGTCGTGCCTTGTGATGTGTTCCTTATGGTACCACGACGGCTGCATGCAGGCAGTTCCCCCCCTCTCGCCCCCGAGGCGGAGGAGGAACAGACCGCCGAGGCAACACCGAAAAGCCTCCAGGCATCCAGACCCCCCCCCCCTTCCGAGGAAAAACAAGGCCCCGAGGGGACAACAACAAAAACATGGAGGGGCAGAAAGCCACGTGCTTCCGAGAGACACACAGAATCGCCTCGAGAGGGAAAAGACAAAAGCCTTCCACCGACAAACGGAGGGCAGAGGCAGGGATGAGAGGAGGGAGATGTGAACTCGGGGCGCTGTCTCTTCAAACCGAGGACCCTACACCATGATATCGTTGGGAGAACAGGCCTCGAGGAGGGGAAAAAAGCAGAGCACTTCCCCGACGGCTGTACGCAGGCAGCCCCCCCGCGCCGCTGGAACGCCTGGCGCTGCCGACCCCCGCCCTGGCGGCCACGGCCGCGGGGGCGCGGCCGACGCGGAGGCGCCGGGCCGCGCTGGCGCGGTGGCCCGCGAGGCGTGCGCAGGCCGTGCTCTCGGGGGGCGGGGGAGGGGGGAGGTCGGACGGGGCTACAGGACGATTGTAAATCTGTCCAGAGCGTTCCGTATTGCTTTCAGAGCGTTCAGGAACGCTCTGAGGAGGCCGCGGCGCCCGATACATCCTCCAGAGCCGCTGGGTCTCAGAGATTCCGATTCATCTTCACCCGATGTTGCCCTCGTCTTGGCTTCGTCTTACGGGGGAGGAGGAGGAGGAGGAGGAGCAGGAGGAGGAGGAGGAGGAGCAGGAGGAGGAGGGTAGGAGGAGGAGGAGGAGGAGAAGGAGGACAACGACGACGAAGACCCAGACCTCGAGCCATGAGAAAATCATGGCCGGAGGTTTTTTACCTAACAGCGAAGACTGATAGGTTTCTAGTGGTGTCAAAAGAGAGCATCTTGACTCCCCAGGGGGGTCTGGGCGGGATCCGGACGGGATCCGGGGGAATCCAGAGGCTCATTTTTTAGCAAACAGTAACGCACTTCGTGGTCTTCGAGTTCCCAGAACTCCATTCCTGGGCATGATTTTGAATGCCCGGAGCCAGCTGTAGGCCACTTCGTGTTCTTCGAGTTCCCAGAACTCCATTCCTGGGCATGATTTTGAATGCCCGGAGCCAACTGTAGGCCACTTCGTGTTCTTCGAGTTCCCAGAACTCCATTCCCGGGCCACATTTTGAATGCTGAGGCAGGCTGAGGCTGCTGAGGCTGAGGCAGGCTGAGGCTGAGGCCGAGGCTGAAGGCAGACTGAGGCTGAGGCTGAAGCAGGCTGAGGCTGAGGCTGAGGCAGGCTGAGGCTGAGGCTGGCTGAGGCAGGCTGAGGCTGAGGCTGAGGCTGATGCAGGCTGAGGCTGAGGCAGGCTGAGGCTGAGGCCGAGGCTGAAGGCAGACTGAGGCTGAGGCTGAAGCAGGCTGAGGCTGAGGCTGAGGCAGGCTGAGGCTGAGGCTGAGGCAGGCTGATGCTGAGGCAGGCTGAGGCTGAGGCTGAGGCTGATGCAGGCTGAGGCTGAGGCAGGCTGAGGCTGAGGCCGAGGCTGAAGGCAGACTGAGGCTGAGGCTGCAGGCTGAGGCTGAGGCTGAGGCAGGCTGAGGCTGAGGCAGGCTGAGGCTGAGGCTGAGGCTGATGCAGGCTGAGGCTGAGGCTGAGGCTGAGGCCGAGGCTGAAGGCAGCTGAGGCTGAGGCTGAAGCAGGCTGAGGCTGCAGGCTGAGGCTGAGGCTGATGCAGGCTGAGGCTGAGGCAGGCTGAGGAGGCTGAGGCTGAGGCTGAGGCTGAGGCAGGCTGAGGCTGAGGCTGAAGGCAGACTGGCTGAGGCTCAGGCTGAGGCTGAGGCTGAGGCAGGCTGAGGCTGAGGCAGGCTGAGGCTGAGGCTGAGGCTGAGGCTGAGGCTGAGGCAGGCTGAGGCTGAGGCTGAGGCTGAGGCTGAGGCTGCAGGCTGAGGCTGAGGCTGAGGCTGAGGCAGGCTGAGGCTGCAGGCTGAGGCTGAGGCTGAGCTGCAGGCTGAGGCTGAGGCTGGCAGGCTGAGGCTGAGGCTGAGGCTGATGCAGGCTGAGGCTGAGGCAGGCTGAGGCCGAGGCTGAAGGCAGGCTGAGGCCTGAGGCTGAGGCTGAGGCAGGCTGAGGCTGAGGCTGAGGCTGAGGCTGAGGGCAGGCTGAGGCTGAGGCTGAGGCTGAGGCTGAGGCTGAGGCTGAGGCAGGCTGAGGCTGAGGCAGGCTGAGGCAGGCTGAGGCAGGCTGAGGCTGAGGCTGAGGCAGGCTGAGGCTGAGGCCGAGGCTGAAGGCAGACTGAGGCTGAGGCTGAAGCAGGCTGAGGCTGAGGCTGAGGAGGCTGAGGCTGAGGCTGAGGCAGGCTGATGCTGAGGCAGGCTGAGGCTGAGGCTGAGGCTGATGCAGGCTGAGGCTGAGGCAGGCTGAGGCTGAGGCCGAGGCTGAAGGCAGACTGAGGCTGAGGCTGAAGCAGGCTGAGGCTGAGGCTGAGGCAGGCTGAGGCTGAGGCTGAGGCAGGCTGATGCTGAGGCAGGCTGAGGCTGAGGCTGAGGCTGAGGCTGATGCAGGCTGAGGCTGAGGCAGGCTGAGGCTGAGGCCGAGGCTGAAGGCAGACTGAGGCTGAGGCTGCTGAGGCTGAGGCTGAGGCAGGCTGAGGCTGAGGCTGAGGCAGGCTGATGCTGAGGCAGGCTGAGGCTGAGGCTGAGGCTGATGCAGGCTGAGGCTGAGGCAGGCTGAGGCTGAGGCCGAGGCTGAAGGCAGAGGCTGAGGCTGCTGAGGCTGAGGCTGAGCAGGCTGAGGCTGAGGCTGAGGCAGGCTGGGGCTGAGGCAGGCTGAGGCTGAGGCTGAGGTAAGGCTGAGGCTGTGACTGCGACTGCCGTTGCCACTGCGACTGTCATCGCGAATGCGACTACGACTGCGAGAACAGCGGAATTTTACAACTGGATTCTCATCTGAATCTTAGGGGGAATGCTTCCAGATATGCTCCTACACATCGCTGTTAGGTTGCTTTGCCGGGATAATTCTGGAAGTTACGAGGGCCCTCACAGGGCCTTTGGACCGTCGAAAAACGACTCGGGATGACAAGCTGACCAAAGGGGGCGGGTCGAGACCTCTGGAGGGCGGCTTCTGAAAAGTCCTGACGTCGGTGTTCTGGGGAGGAGGAGGAGGAGGAGGAGGAGGAGGAGGAGGAGGAGGAGCAGGAGGAGGAGGCTGAGGACGAGGAAAACGACGAGGACGAGGGGGCGTTTTCTTTCAGTAAATATGCTCCTCTCCGCCTCATCATTCTGCGCCTCTGCTGCCGCCTGCCGTGTACATCATCGACATTACTTGTATACTGAAGCTGTTTGCTTATCAAGTGCGAAAAGGAGCGCGCCGGAGGCGCGCGGGCGGCTCGTGTCGTCGTCCGTCTCTGGCCGGCTTCCTCCCTTCCCATACTTGGTAGCATTTGCTATGCGGAAAGTATATTGTTTCATCGATGCCTCGTCCCAAACCCTCTACCACTGAGCGTATTGTTCACGGGACCTTAATTCCTGTGGCATCTTGCCCCGATTCTCAGAGGAAAGACTGGTTATCAGCCGACACCCGCGACCCAGTCGCTAGGGGATTGAGCTATGATGAGACAGCCGAATTGCCCGCGAGATTATACGATGTGCATCGAGACGGGCAAGACCACCAGGACGGCGGCCCAAGGGAGGGCCGCTCTCTTCCCTCTTCTAACCTCACTCGGGTTCCTCGGGGAGGAATTGTCGAAGGAGCCATTGATTTTTCAGCCGACGATTCTCCCATTCGTGCTCCGATCAGAGAACGTGATCGGACCCCGGATCCGATGAGGCGGAACGGCCCAGCCGTGAACGCCAGGCGAGGAGCCTTCTCATCTTGGATTGCTGAGTCCCCAGAAACAATACATTCCAGCCCGATTTGCCGTACATTCTATCGAGCCGGCCGCTGGCCCAGCCAGTCGGCCGCGAGTCGTGGACGAGTCGAGCGGTGTGCTCCCCGCCGTCCCAGACGGTTGGGATCGACCGCCCAGGGCTCGCCCCATCCCGATCGCCTTGAACGGGCAACCCGGTCAAGACAGCGACGAACAGCTTGATGACGAAGACGATGTCAATTCTATGGAAGATAACATGGAGTATGCCGCGTACGAAATGTCCCCAAGCCGAGTTTTGCCGCTGTTGAACGCTGCCGACTGTCCCGTCCCAGACGGAAGGTCATCCCCAGGACAGGAGACCGTTGACTACGATCACTTGGAAGCTCTTGGGGAGGCATTTGCGGAACCAGACTTAGACACCACGACCAGCGACCTAGTCCGCAAGGTCCCAGCGGTACACGAGCCATGGGGAACACCGATGCCGCCCCCCTTTCTCCCAATCGCTGAGGTCCCGCCCCAGGCGGCAGAGGTTGCATCGAGTTCCCAACCTCATGCCAAGCATAACCGGGAGTCCACGGGCCGAACGCCAGCTCCTCAGCATAAGAAGCACAGGAATGAAGATTACGATTTGAATGCTTCCCCGCTTCAGGAGGGGTTCCATCGGTCTGCGGTCGCCCCAGGCGATTGGCAGCCGTCGGCCCCCGCGGTAGCTGAGGATGACGGCCCGTTTGACTCTCCAGTCACACTCCGGGAAATGATTGCACAGGATGAACGGGATGAGGCGCTCCGCGAGGTGGCCAAGCCACCAGAGAGCACACGCACTCGCCCTCGATCGTCCGCTTCGAGCAGGGGGCGGCCCAAGATCCCACGATCTGGTGCCCGACCGACTTCGAGGAGCAACAGCGCCACTTCCACGCGCGAGGCGCGCTGGAACCAGGGCCCTGGTTGCCCGCCCCAGGCGGAGAGAGGGGGCCCGGGGAAAGCGCGCAAAACGGGGGGGGCCTTGTAGGCGCCCAGTGCGTGGGTATTGTTCCAGCGTGTGACCCAAGTGTGGAAATCAATGGTGGTGTGAGGACTGCATCCAGATGGGAGAACATAACTGCCAATACTTTTTGATCCAAGCCATGCAGGAGCAAGCCAGGGCCCTAGAGGCCCAGAGACAGCAAGATACCATGGCCTTAGAAGCCCTGAGGGCCGCACAGGCCCGGCTGGATCGAGAAAAGATGAATGCAGTTATTGCCGACGTTCAGAAGAAGTTCGAAGCTGATAGCACTAATGTCCTCTCAGACCGCGGCTGCCCAGCAGCGCGCGGAAGAAGCTGAGAACCAGATTGTTGAGACATTATATTCTGAGCGACGGGCTGCCCTGGCGGTGCGCAGTCAAGCTGTAGACGCCAAGTCCGCCTGCGCCGCTGTTGCGGCGGCGAGGCTAGAAGGGGGGGGGGGGGTGCCGCGAAAGCCAAGGCAGAGCATGAAAGAAAGGAGCTCCAAGATCAGCTTTGCGCTGCTAGGCTGGAAGCGGCCAACGCACATATCATAGCTGCGAAGATGGTTGACCATAATAAACAATATCGAGATGAGCTCAAGAAGCATGAACACGCTGGGGCATCGCATCGCCAAATACAATCAGGCGACGGAGCT